ATTATTGATAATGAACTAAGGTTAGTGCTCGTCAATCACCAACTAATATTCCATGATTCATTATCTTAGATCAGCTGTAAATGAATAGACTATAGTGGCTAGCATATGTTCATGACGTCACTTTAATTATCTCATGATAAATTTCTTTCATTTTCGTCATTTTGGAACCACATTTGTGACTGAACAAAACTTCAGATTAAAGATTCGAAAACAGATGTAAAAGGTTCGATCTTGATACTTCGATCTCACGTTTCAACGAGTTTTCTACGATTTTCGGTTGTCGAGATCATCGAGTCACAAAACGNATTAAAGATTCGAAAACAGATGTAAAAAGGTTCGATCTTGATTCTTCGATCTCACGTTTCAACGAGTTTTCTACGATTTTCCGTTCTCGAGATCATTGCGACACAAAATGACGACTTGTGATGCGTACGTCAAGTAAGTAAAAAATCAAAAAATTAAAAAATTAAAAAAACTAAAAAACTAAAAAAATTAAAAAATTAAAAAAAAACAACTCGCGATGGACTACATAAATGCTTCTGCTTTGCATCGCATTAATAAAATGATGACTTGCATTAGTCTATCACTTTTAAGTGAAATTTATTTACAATTCTTGTTTGTCACCCAGTCGCAGTACTTAAAGTCGGCCATCATCTTACAACTAATACAATTTGTAGTCGTTTATAGAAGACTTCTGTGACTTAGAGCTTTTATATTGAAGAAAAATGTGGATCTCTTCATAAACAGTAGCGAGTGACATAATAGCTACCAAAGCAGATATATGCAGCGATGTATTTAGTATGCTATCAGCAGAATGATTCTGAGTAAACAGATCTGAAGAATTTGCTTAGTGCCATTCAATCATTACTTATATGAAAAACCATTTTGAAGGTTTCTATGACATAAATCGAAATTTGCATTCCTATATTTTTGAGCTTCTGTTGGATTTTGCATTAAAAAAAAGTAGAAATCGAACTATTTTGTTTAGTTGTGAAATTCTTTCTCCTTGTGGTTCAATTCCATGTATACATGGTGTATGTCGGAATACAAATTCAACTTCATTTCAATGCACATGTGAACCTGGTTTTAGTGGTAAAAACTTTCTGCTAATTTTATTATTTATTTCTTATTCATCAAGGTAGTACATGTGGCACACCAGTTGATGTTTGTACTTCGAATCCATGTAAATGCAATAAAACGATGAAAATGTTTGTTTTCGATAGACTTATTTGATGATTTTAGGTTCCAATGGTGGAATTTGTCGAAATTTAGGCAACGGATTATTTACGTGTACATGTTCACCAGCATTTACAGGCAATGAGATTTGTTGTGATTGAAAATTAAATATTCTTTTGATTTAGGTTCCAATTGTAATATTCCACTATGTGTAACAGGTAGTTGTTTTAATGCTGGCACTTGCGTTATTCAAAATAGTACTCTACTTTGTCAATGTCCATGCGGATTTACTGGTGAGAAATTCAAAATTAATTTTCTATTGATCTATTAAAATCTCAAACGAATTTCTTTAAAGGATCTCGGTGCGAAACACCATTTGATATATGTTCCTCAACATCATGTCAAAATAATGGTACACGCATTCTGAACATTACAGGATGCCAATGCAGATGTTTATGTTTATCGGCATTTACCGGGAATCTTTGTCAATCTTCAATATTACCAGTTAATAGAACCTATCCAGGGCAAATTATTATTCCGATAAATCGACCAGGAGGTAGCTTATAGAAGAAAAATAAACATTCTATCAAATACTTTTGGAAAAACAAAAACAAATTTTATTTTTAGGATCATCATGGGAACTTATTTTACAATGTATCGATCAAGTTTGGAATAGTTTGAATGTTCTACTCGGTAATAAATACTTCTTATATCACTGAGTATTATCCCTTCTATATCATTATTTTAGTATGTAATTCGCCATTTACTCTTGTGAATCCAACATCATTTTATCCTTATTGTTATCAAATGAATCAACAATCATCACTTATTACTCAACTGAATGCTATACAAGATTGCAGCGATAGATCCGCACAACTTGTTTGGTTTCAATCTATTGATGAAATACAACAACAATTAATTCCAGCTCTATTCGCTCTGGGTTTAACTAGAGGTGTTTTTGTGTTTTAAATTTTGAATTATTAAAACGAAAAAAAACAATTGTCTCTTTTTAGATTTTTGGACCAGCGGAATATTTAATTCAATATTGAATCAATGGCAATGGTTATTAGCAAATAATAATACTCGTATTGCTATTGATCCATCAATTCTAACATACTATGGAATTAGTTCTGCAGGTAAAAACTAGAAAGAAAACTTTAAATATTTATCTTTGTTTTATTTTAATTTAGCTGGTCAATCTCTTCACTATTCATTTGCACAATTATCTAATCAACGTTTAGTTTCAAGTTCATCATCAGAAACTTATTCATCCGTTTGTAAAATATCTGCAACCCGCTTATTACTAAACAATCAAACACGTGCAATTGATTTAACATCACAACAATATGGATATCAAAATCAGTTGAGATTCTTTTCTTTGCTTTTCTTTCCGAAAACTCATTACTTTTTCTTCTACATACTCTTATTTAGAACTAAAGTTATCTTTTATCAATTTAATTATACGATTTTTTCAACAATTCCATCAAATATTCTCATACAACAGCCAACAGCTGCACAATACGCAGCTATGTGCGGTGCTATTGGTAGTCCATCGACTCCTGTTGATCCATATATCATTGATATTTGTGGCTATTTTCCTACGATAACTGATGGAAATGTTCAATTGTTAATGCAAATTATTTCTTCATATTATACATCTCATCGCATAACAGCTTTATCGGCTCGTAAGTCTGAAAAAGAAATATCCTATTGAGAACTATTTTTCATTTTTGAATAGAAACTTATACTGCAATTCCATTAAGTGTGGAACATTTTGTAACAATATCTGGCGATTTAATGACTCGAATACGTTTTATAATAACTAGTCAGTCGTCGATTATTCTCGGATCAAATATTGAACCCTTAGCATCAATTAATGATATGCTTAATACGAACAATTATCAAATTTATCAACAATGTGTACCATATATATCGTTAAATATTCTTCTGCCATTGAATATATGTATTCCATTTAATGAAATTTCATTGTGGACAAATTTAATTGCAAATGCAGTTTCAGCAGCCACTGGTAGCATTGTTGTTTCGCTTTTAAAGAGCATTCATAGCTCTTCTTTGAACATTCCTAGTTTTGAACAGAGTCGAAGACCGATCTACCTCGAGCTTTCTAGAGTACTTAAACTAAAGAGACATGTGATCAATGATTAAAATTTTCGTAGAAAAAATGCTCGTTTTTGCTACAGAATCACATTAGAGTTCCGGTTAAGATCTCAATATTTTTCAATTAGAAAAATATATCAAACTATTAATCATAAAACAAAATTGATCACTTTCAGATGTAGTCAATATTTCGTAGCACGTGTATTTAACATATCAGAAAAGTCGACTCGATGCTTTTCAAGGAATAGAATAAATCTCAAATGAAAGCGATATATTTTGAAATTAATCTAAAAAATTTATTTTTGTCAGGTCAACCAAGTGTCACTGTAATGCTGAAAGGCGTTCAACCAGGTGTAACATCAACAGGGTAATCAGTTTTTTTTCTTATAATTGTTCAATAAATTGAGATATTATTTCGACCTAAACTAGACAACCAGCAAATATTGCATATTTTTTAATAACCATTAATGGTATGACATACAATCAAACAACTGCTAGTAGTCTAGCATCGAATCCAATATTGATTTCAACAATATCACAAACGAATAATAATTTATTATGCTCAAATGCCACACAAATACTTCCATTACAAAATAGTATTCAAAATTTTTATGTTCCATGTCCTATACCACAAATGTAAGTGACAACAAAAGATTTATGGAATATTTCCATTACGTGCCCAGTTAGTCACCTATCGAATGATGCAATAGTCAATATATGAATGTTGGTATTCAGAAAAATAAGTTGGTGTTAATATCTTAGAATGAACAAGAGTTTTAAAAGCGTTTGTTCATAAAACTTAAGTTTATAGAAACTCGTTGAAATTTAAATTGTTGAAGCACAATCAAACCGAGCTTTCTTTATTACTTCAAGGCTGTTTTTTGTCCATTAAAATTGCACTTCATGTTTATTTTCTCTTATTTTATTAATACTTTCTTGAAATGTTTTTAAAAACCATCCATATTTTCTAAAGAAATCTGAATGGTGAAAACTCAAAATAACAAGGAAACAACAGGACTAGACCATTTTATTAGTGTTGTATCTAAAAGCTCTATGTTTCATGAGTATTTTATGAACTAAATAGATGAACATAAGTCTGATAAACTTTTCGTATCAGCACAAAAACGAATCGTGTGATTTACATCTATTCATAAGTTCGATTCAGCATTGCTTAAGAAGTCGTGAGTAACCCATGCGGTGGTAGATTGTGACGCATATTATATCATATTTTACACGTGTGTCCGACAAAAATTCCATATAATTCAAATTAACGAAACTTCATTTTATTTCTCTGGATATTTAGACTTCAACGTCAATTAAATAACGCATTACAACAAGCTGGGATTTATAATATTAATATGACAATCTTCGGTGTTGAAGAAGCAGTTGATAATCTTGGGTAAAATTTATTTAATCTGTATTTTTTTTGTGCAGTATTTTGTTTTAGACAAATTTATCGTTTGCCAAATATATACATTCAACAACAGAATGGAACATGGCTTGATGCGCCATTGCAATTAAATAGTCAATTGTATCAGATCTTAATATCTGTTCAAATGCAACAATTAGCCACACGCGTTTACTATTTATCAGAAGCTTATTCATATTTTTATTTGAATCAATTAACGGCGAACGATCAAGATTATTTACAAAAATTAATATTAACAGTATACAATCAACAAAGTAATGAACCAGCATAGAGAAAATCAATATTTTATCTCTCTATTTTAGGTTCTATGACAAGTAATAGTGTCAAAGTTTTACTTGAAGATCCGTATTTAAATATAACTTCATTGATAAAAATTCAACGTGTTTATGCATTTTTATTTTATAATGATCAAGATCTTGACGGAAGATATTTATCATCTTTAGTTTTATCTCAATCGCAATTTAACAGTGCATTTTTTATACAACCACCATTGACTTACATATCAAATTTAGTACCAATCAATGTTGTTAAACAGCGGGATGTACAACAAATAACATTTACCGGAAAAGTTAGTAAAACACTAGCATTAACAGCATTGACTGACTATTGGCAAAATCCTATTCGACAAGGATTAGCTAATGCAAATGTTTATATTATACAAGTACAACAATATCTTGTCTATTCAAAGGCGTAAAATAAAACAAATAGTTTTTCTTTATTTAATTTTAATTTCTCTTCTTTTTTTAAATTTCTAGTCAATTCTATACCACAATAACATATATGGTGACGACGTCAAATGGTTATACAGTACCAAGTGCATGTTTTAATCCAAATTTAATTCAACCCTTGAATGGTCTATGTGGTGCACCGAATAATTATGTTGCACAAGTACCGTTCAGCTATGCGGCATCATTTATTGATTTACGAGGAAATTATTTACAAGCTGATCTTGATCAAGATAATTTTCAGACATTGATTACATCTGCATTACAAAGAACAGGAATTAGTAGTACAGGTAAATGGAGAGCAATGCGTTTTAGTTCTGACAATACATTTACAACTAACATACAGCCTTAGATAGTTACTCATGTACATTGATATAGGATAGGAATTTTAAAAATCGATTGAAATGAGTAAACATTGTAATACACAAAAACTTTAAACGGAGTAGTATCAAATTCAAGATCTCACTAGAACTTTTCTTCGATTTTTTTTTGTTACGATGCAAAATTGTTCATCAGTTTACATAAAATTATGTGTCAAAACTAGAAAAGCAAATTTTACGATATTCAGCTCGAAATATATACCCACTTCCATACCACTCTATGAGCTCTTTCTAGTCATCACGAGAAAAAAATGAAAAAATTCCTGCTGAAATAATTATGATTGGAATATTTAAGTTTATATAGGTTGTAAACAACGTATATTTTAAATCTATTTGCTTTTCAATGCATTCTTTTAGATTACATATGTTAAATAGTCTTTAGTTTCAACACACATCCTTTCCATGAGTATTCATTAAATTGTATTTTCATTCCAATTTAGTTTCATCAATATTAATCGAACCACGTTTTGGTTTTGATATATCATTAGTAACAAGAGTCTATTACATGGTTGTACCTAATCAAACAATAACACAAGATCAAATACAAATTCAATTAAAAGTATATCTTTCTTTACAGCAGTCATTTGTAATATATTTTCTTCAATAGTACATTTTTTCATCAATGCAAACAATTGAATATGATTTATATCCAAGTGCACAATTATCTGTTGCACGTAGTGATGCTCTGCAATATATAGCCAATGCTTCATTACCGTTAACAACTTTGATTCGCCAAGATATTGAAAATTACTTAACGGCATTTAATCGACGTGACTAGTCATGGATTTTTATTATGAACTTGTTTTATTTTATTTTATTTCTTTTAGAATATGGAATTGCAAAAATAGTTTATGCCGAATCTATCAGTGTTGGTCAAACGCGTTTTTATCTTGTGGTAAAAGAAGATTTCGAAAATTACCTTGATGAATAAATTTCATTTTGTTTTTGAAAGTTTCTCAACGGTTCACAAATATTAACTCGATGTGATTTTTCCTTATATTATCCCGGCGTAACAAATACTGTTAATGGAACAGGTGGCATCCACAGTATATATCTTGAACGAAATGTACTTGTTGCTCAACCCATGGCACTTGTTGATGGTCTTGTACAAATCTGGATAAATCAAAATGTAGGTGTTCCACCAGGAACTCTATCTATTCAATTACAGAATCAAGTTCAATATATTTGTTCGGGAGGGTAAGAAAAAACGTTTTTTTTCCAAAAACGAAAACACAAAGCGCATGATTTTTTCAGACAAGAGTCAGTCAGAGTTGATTATATTGTTCAAAGTCTATTGGCAAGTGTTAATGTGAACAATCTGATTCAGCCACCGAATTCAGCATTTGAACAACTCTATGGAAAATATGTTAATGTAAATTTTTTCAAAAACTAACATCAACAATTTTCAAAAAAGTTTACATTTTTGTTTTTCTTAGACAAGTCATTGTGTTCCTTATCTAGTACATTGGCTATATTTAATTGAACCACGTCCATCAAATGATTTAATTCAGTCTGCATTACAAAATGCGTGGCGTCAATCCAACAGTAAATTATTTGGGTTCCTTTCGTATCAAATATTTATTGAATTTCTTGGTTTATTTAGATAATTTACTAATTAATGTTTCACCCGAGCTTTATTTCGATTCTTCGTATTTTACGGTTAATAAGTAACTCCTTTTTTTTCCATTTAAATCCTATTTTTAATAATTTCGTTTTTCTATATATTAGTCAAACATTAACACGTTTGACTTATACAATTAATCTAAATGGTTCCGATTTATCTCCATTAGTCGTTACAGAACCATTGCTAAATTCAATTTCGCTATCAAATATTTACACCGATATTCCATATAAAAAGTTTTCTATTTATATTGATGGAACTAAATTAAATTTAACAAGTTCAACAACATTATCAATGGTAAATCAAGCATTAAGAACAAGTTGGTCATTAGCTAACGGTAATCTTTTTCCAGCAAATCAGGTTTTGATTCCATCAATTATCTCTACTTTACTAAGGTAAATATAATTTTTATACTCAAGATAGATGAACTATCACGAAAACAATTTGCATAGTAAAAGTATTACTCTATTCGAATTCACGGATAAACATTGATTTTAATGTAATGATTTTCATCACTTGTAGAAACTCAATTGTTCTAATTCGAGGTCTAGAAATCCGGATACAATTATCCGTAGTCGGTGTGCACTTCAACCAGTGTCATCACACTATCGTAAAACCTAGATAAAACTACTTCTGCTTTTTAGTCACGCTCTAAGGAAGACTAGAAGAGAAAGCTATAAAGTCAGTCAATTAAAGATAAATATTTTTCTCAGACAGTGTAGTTCAAATAATATGTGAAAATTATATAGTAAAGTTTTGATGTGAACTATATTTAACAAAAGAATGCAAATATATTCCACATTAACTATTCTTCTGTTTGTTTCTCTCGAAATCAAATCTTCTCATATTTACTATAAACGAATAATAAATTTGTTTTGTATATGAATTTTGTTGAGCGCTTTTGTATGTGAACCGAATTCTTCAAGTATTATCGAGCAGCTTCATTTCAATGATTACTGTGAGGAAAATCTCTTTATAAAAATCTATAGAGTATGTTACATAGTTCATAGGATGTGCGATCAAATATATTTCATACTGAAAAATTGTGTAATAATTATATTTAAGTCTACAACATTATGAATAGAACGAAGAGATGATGTATTCATAACTATAATGCCGTATAAAACTACATTCGTCACAAAAAGGAAAAAAAGAACATGCATTTTATAGTAATATTATTGCGATCATTTTCACTTGCTAATACTTACAACTATCATTTAGCAGCGCATCATAAAATATGTATCAGTCTCTTATTACTTAGAGTGATATATTCTACAACAAGATGAGGCTGTCGAAATCTAATTTGCGTAAAGTATTCCTGTATTTGAAAAGTATCGTAGTTGATGTTTCGAGAGTAGCCCTCTTATCATTCATAGATGAAATTGTAATTAGTATAGAATAGAACCATTAAAGAGCTATTTTTATTATAATATTAAATGAAGTTAATAGAATAGTTGAAACGAATGCAAATCATTCATCGACTTCTTAAATTTTCTCTTTCTCATAAAAACTCTCGAAAGGTTCTATGCGTAAATAAAATGACTTTTGATATATTTAGTAATGGACAAACAAAAGTTGATTATACAATTGGTTTGCGTTCAGGTGATATTGGTAATTATTCACCACCATCAGAAAGACTATACACACAAGTATTCAATCAAACTGGTTTACAGACATTAGTTTATACACGTTACATACCAGGATATTATAATTCGATAGCCAACAATAATGATCAAACATCTAATTTACCATTTTATTATCGAATAAGACAATTGAGTGGAGTAAAAACTTGATCAATTTAGAATTTACTATAAAAAAAACAAATTCTTTTATTTATTTATACTTTAGCTTGCATGGTGGATTATTTTAATTATAGTAATTGGAATATTAACTCTTTGGTTAATACTATCTTTAATTATTTATCTGTGTTGTCGGAAACGGTAAGATTTAATCCTATGTTTTTATATTTTAAACGCTTATTAATTAACACGATAGCTTATGCTTATATCTAAACCAGTCAAAAAATTCATTTGATCCTGAAACTTTCAATTCAACAATACAAGCAATTGATATGTCTAATCAAGAAGAAAATAGCCATTTTCAATCATCGGTAACCATCAAACAAGAAAGTATGGTTCGACCGGAATTACGAGTTCGACGTTTATCACAAGAAGATTGGCCATATTTCAATACTTAAACTACTAATAAATTATATTTCCTGCTTTTTGCTTCAATATCTGTTTTCTTTGTCTATCATATCAAATGATTCTGATTTTTATTCTTACTATTAGCGCGGAACGAAAACCGTCATCTGTAGTAATAACAGATGTTCAACAGATACCGATTAATGAACCGAGGTATATTTTAAATGGTATACACGAACCGTTGCCACAACGAAAACATGCAGTATCAATTATCAATTTACAAGATCCACCATCAACAAATGAATTTCGTCGACCTAAACGAACAACAAGATCAGTATCACCGGCAAATAGTTTTCGTTATATTTTACCATTTCATTCTAAGCGAGAGGAGAAAATTTCTAACCTTGAACAAACATCACTCGGTAATAGACAAAATGTACCGATAACTGTAGCAAAAAGTCCCATGTACAATGGTGATTATTTATAATTATTTTATCAAGAGAACAATATTTTTTTCCTTTCTTCGCTCATTGTTATCAGAGAAAAAAATCTCGTTTGCATTTGTAAAAGAAAAGATATTGGCGAAGATGAAAATTTTTGAATTCTATTTTACATTTTGTTTCTGATTTGAAATAATAAAATAAAAATTTCTTTCATTTCACTTGTTCATTGGTGATTTAAGATGTAGAACGATTGTAGGAAAAAGAAGAGAAAGTGAGTATTTGGCATTGATAAAGTTGTTTTCTTTCTATTAAAACTTTCGTTATATTTCGAAATTCAATCTTAAATCCATTTACTATTCATATATATGATTACTTAGCGATCAAACATAGTACCTAATAACAAAACGGGTTCTCTTCAGACAAAAAAAAACAATATTTTTGGATATTTTATCTGAGATAATAGGATATTGTCTTTCACTTCTTTCTAAAATTCTTCTTAAAAGAATTCTGGAAAAATTAATCAGAGTTGCTAGCCGACAATAAAAAATTGTAGAAGAAGTTTCTAGTATGGTTAAATATAAACCGTATCGAGTTACTCATGAAAATATTATTTTTCATGAATTCAGACGATATTTTGGTGACCGTTCAATTCGTCACATGATCAATTCGTCGCACGACAATTCGTTGCGATCAGTTCGTCGCATATATAGGAGAGGATACATTAATTGAATTAATCATGTAAATTGTACACGCTGTTATTGGAGTGGTTAGGTCCCGTTTCGTCGAAAATGAAAAATCGATTGTTCCCGTTTCGTCGAAAAGATAAATTCTAATTAATCAATGAAATGAAGAATACATTATATCACTTGATGAGATTTTTTCGTCATTCTAATCAAGAGTAGTCTTTATAGTTGTAGATAGACTTACGAAAAGAAATTAATAATAGAACAGATTAAGATTCATAAATAAGAAATTATTAAGAGAAAATATACACAGAGAAAAGACAAAGTCAATGTTTTTTTATTCCGATTAATCGCATAACTTTTTCAAGATATTCATCTAATGTTAATGTTTGTTGCTTGCAACGTTCTTCCAAATCTTGTAATCGTGCATTTCGATTTACATATAACTTTTTCCGTGGAGGTAATACGCCAGTTGCTAAATGACGTGATGATATTGCTGAATTATAAGCATAATCATTTTGAATTGCACGAATGAATAGATAAAAATGTGGATGTACAACATTATTTAAACCATTATTTAGTCGATGGTGCCATCCTTCGAGATGATTATTGGTTCTTAAACTTTTAAAATCATAATAATTCCATAGCACATAATCGAATAAAGCATCATTTCCGATTCATGTATTAGTTACATAATCATAAAAATCTTCAATATTTTCAATATCTTGATATTCATCCATTATCATTACCCATAATTTACCAATTTCTTGCGGTGGCATAAAAGCGGGTCTACGAAAATTGGTCGAACGAAAAATGGTCGAACGAAAATTGATCGCGGTTAATTGGTCGATACGAAAATTGGTCGATGTGAATATTGATAGATACGAAAATTGATCGACAACAATATTAGTCGAGTTTAGTTAAAAGAAAACAATTTCTTTA